GATATCGGTACTGAAGATGCATGTACATAAACAGTGTCATGTTAACAAGTTCAGCACTGCCACAAGTATATGTATGTTGTGGACTCGTCGTCCTGTGCAGTCCCCTTCACACACACAGAGGGCAGTCTTCTTGCATTTGCAGAACCTCACACACCATAAATGGCACTTGCAAGAAATCAGCTCTGTGCAGCTGTGAGCTGCCTCGGGTAGCCTAGTCCAGTATGGTGTGTACTGTCCTCCAGTCATTGACCAACCCTAGTTGTTTTGTGGAGGGAGCTGTGGTGCTGGCAAACGTATCTGACCCCACACATTTCCACCTCAATACAATCCCCTCTTGACATGTTCCTCTAAAGCTGCCTTCGTTGGAGGGATCACCTGCACATCGTTCTTCCTTGCGAAGATTTTCCTCCTGGCCGTGTCATTGTACGTGCATTTGCTGGTTCGATCATACAACAGGATCACGAACCTCTTGATGATGGACATTGCATCGTTTGGTATGTCACGTGGTGCAGAGGTACCAGCAGCAGCGCCTCAGTGAGTTCTGGCAGTACCGTTCAGACTGCCCACGCAGTCTTCTTGCCATAGGGGATGAAGATCTTAGGAGATTACTCTTCAAATGTCTTTAATTTAATGCAGCCAATCTGGGCGATGTGTTGCTCCATCAAGAGCTATACAGCTAGTGACAGAAGTCTCTGTCTTGGCGTCGAAGTTTTCTTCAAAGCCTGTAATGAGATCATTCTTAGTACAAGTGAAGACAGCAGACAGTGCAGGAGGACATGCCTAGTTCTTGTGACGAAAGAACTCCTCAAAGTTTCCATCCCTCAGCCAAAGTACAGGCGTGCAACGAGTTCACGGTCATTTTTGACAGAGGCGAACTGTTCCTAACATTTACCCTTGTTTCTTGGAGTGGAAGTGCTGAATACCTTCAGTTTTGTCACGAGGAATGGGGTCGTCCACTGCCTTTGTTCTGTCCAACAGACACTCTCTGGTGAAAGCCTCGGGCTGGCCTTGCCCAATCCTCTTGGCTTTAATCACGGTCTCCACGGCAGAAGGACCTGCGATGTCCTTTTTGTCCAGTATGCTTAGATCCTGACTCTCCTCCTCGAATGGGTTGCCCATCTCCTTTATTATAACAACGAGACAGCGAATATCTTTCACTAATGAGGCATGTACACTTGGCGTCTGATCATGATGACGTGTGTCTGCTGCTTGCTTCCTGTCTCCAGTATTGGTTCCTGTCCTGGAATTCTTCGATCACCCTAGCAATTTCTGGTCTTGAAACCATCCGGCGACAAAGGGCACTAGGATTGTCAGTTAGCCCAACCGCGCCATCGTTTTCTTTGATGCAGGCATTGTTCTGCTCATGTGCCTGGTCAATCGGGATTAAAGAGAACACCCTCTTCGTATCCACCTAGCATAGTGGGTATGATCTAGAGCGTGGAACCAGGTGACCAGCTCTGTCAGAGCATCGAGGTACATCATCAATAATCCCTGCCTGAGAGAACGCATATACACTAGAGCCAACAGTTCTTGTTCCAGCACAGTTGCCCAGTAGCGAAACTGGGAGATGTTGTCTCGTCTCTGGGATCACCAGTCTTCAAACGCAGGAATGTCCTCTGCATCCCGGGTTTCTCTCAGACAGTAGTGGTAGTAGGCATGGTGTTGCAGGATGTACAGTGCTGCTGCAGTCACTTGATGTGCTCTTCTTGTGCGCAAGACATGAGATGCTCACAGGAATGAGTCTGCTGTCCTTGCAGTCGCAATCTCGGCTTGTACAAGTGCCTGCCACCCAACCAGTCCCTTGCAGCCAGTCCCACCGTGTTTTCAATACTGCCATCTCTATGTGGAGACCACCAAACATCACCACTATATGGTCTTCACCATAACTCTCTGGCCACTTCCACTGTATCTGCTTGGCAAAAGCAAACAGTGGCTGATCCAAGGTGACCACTGGTGTCTGCCCAGGATTCAGGTGTTCTACAGCTTTCTTCACAACGTTCATTGAATGCCTGATCATTGCCACGGTGAGGGCACTTTCCAGGAAGAGTGAAAGCAGCGACGTGGGGCAGATGACTCTACCCTCTAGTGGCTGTCGGCTGGCATGAAATGCAGCCCAAGGTGTGTTTTCATTTTCCACTGTACCAGTGTTGTCTCCCAGGGCGTGTTTTGCATTGCCTAACCAATGGTATTCTCAATCAGTCTGCTGTTTGAAGCCTCCTCTGGTCGATCACAAAACTCCAGCTGCTGGGACAGGTGACGTCTTGACGCTGCTAGTGACAGGGGCTACATCAGTACAATAGTGCGGCAAAGGGGCGACAGTTTTGAACCGTGCATCTCCAGATTCTCCGGCAACGGAAGTGCTCCGATTTACTCCTTCACCAGTGTAAAAAGGATGTTGTTCGAGGGAGATAGCGGCACCTTGGAAAGAGTCTTTTGATGTTGTTGCACTAGGATTGTGATCTATGTCATCTACAGCGACAACTGGGAACTCTTCGCCCCGCACTTTTAGAGGTCAGACCACTTGTTCTTGTAAAATTGTTGGCAGACATGGTTGCCCATCTCTGCTGAGAGCAGGAGCACTCTATCATATGAGATGCTCAGGCCAAGGTGAGACAGTCTGTCGACCAGTTCCTTCTTGTGTGTATGAGCATGCAAAAGCATCCCAATGTATGTTGGAAGTGGGGTCTCCTGTGCGACACGGTGCCGGACACAGGTGAATGATGTGGTGCCACGTGTTCACTTGTGTTTTGCGCAGTTGAACTTCAGTATCTAGGCTGCGGTAATTGCTGCAGGGTTAGTGTCTGCCATCTGGTCCTTGATGCTGAGTCTCTTTAGGATAATGCTGACTAAGGCAAGCAGCAACGGTTGCAACAGATTCTTTTTGGCATCCTCCAGGGAATCCTGAGAAGGGTTTGGCTTCTCCAAACATGTGACGGCGACAAGATAACGACGAATGTAGATCGAGAAGCTGTCATGTAATGTAAAGCAGCCATTTTGAAATCCAATATATGGCGACCCATTAGTACAAATACGTAATGCAGATTGTTACCATTGGCTTGCTTGCCCCCCAAAACATACATTTAGACACCAAAATGAAGTTATTAGCAGCATTTGACCCAGAGATAATCACAAATGTATATTTCAAATGGCAGCCATTTTGAAATCCAATATGGTGGCCCTTTAGTAAAAATACGTAATGCAGATTGCTACAATTGGATATCTTGACCACAAAAACATATATTTAGACACCAAAATGAAGTCAATAGCAGCATTTGACCCAGAGATAATCGCAAATGTAGATTTCAAATGGCGGCCATTTTGAAATCCAATATGGCGGCCATAAAGAGAGAAATCCGAGTGGCCCAATATCTGAAAATGATTTCAATATGTTAATGTACATTTGTGCCAAGTTTGGTGCTTGTATCACAAAATGCACAATAGGTTTGCTAAGCGGCCCCACGATTGGGAAAGTAAAGGCGGCGTGGAAAGGAACTGGCCACCCTACCACAATATGTCGAAGGCCCAGGAAGTTGTCTCACTAACAAGGCAATTCCCAATGTCCGGATCGGATGCCGGAACAACAACAAAAAACCCAGTTAGGCTTACGTGGTAAAAATGTGTAGTTAAATCATTAAACGCATAGATCTTGCTGCTGAGCAGAAATTTGCACGATTCAAATAATTATTGTTATTATTATTATTATTATTATTATTATTATTATTATTATTATTATTATTATTATTATTATTATTATCATTTTTATTATTGTTGTTATTGTTGTTGTTATTATTTGTATTAATGTTACCTGATAAATTCGTCTTTTATTACAATAATTATACCACATTTGTATTAATGTTACCTGATAAATTCGTCTTTTATTGCAATAATTATACCACATGGGTCTTTGTGTTATAACATAGTTCAGCTAGTTTTGTGCTAAAATACAATTAATATTAACAACAACAACAATAACAACAATAGCAGCAGCAACAACAAACAACAACAACACAACGTATTTTCATATACTCTGTAGTTTGATAGCAATACGATAGCATAGACCAAATGAAAAACAACAACAACCATTACTACCAAAGTAGCATTACAACCGCGTTAACAGGAACATTAGCAGCAATACCAACAACGGTACAATGTTAGCAACAACAAGAATAATAGAGCAAGCTATAGAGCAAGCTCTATCAACAACAACAGAATATGCAGAGTACCAACAACAACAACAATAATAACAATGAGAGCAACAACAACAACAACAACAACAACAACAACAACAACACCTCCTTTATCATCAACAGCAATAACACTTGACCACAACGAACAGTAACATCTATTAAAATCAAACCTTCGTTAAAAATAAATGATTTTAGGCGTTTTACTTGTTCCTACACTGCTTAGATCATACACAGTTATCGTAATACTATTGTAAAGAGCTATTTCGAGCTCAACAAAGAAGGGTATTTGGAAGAGTTCAGACTATTGTAAAAGCCGGCAGAAAAGCAACTAATAGAAGCTTCTCAAAACGCAGGGGATACGTATTTTCCTTTTTTAGATAGTCCAACGCTGTTAAGGATTTCAAAATTCAGGAAGTATTAAAAGTTCGGTAGCTGAACATAATATGTGAGGCAGCGTGGTGGAATCAGGCTCTCATCAATTTTTGGGCATTTAGAGGTATTGGTATCATCTTCAAATTTGTTTACTTGTCTTTATTTGGATGAAAAAATATTCATTTATCTTGAATACAAGTCGAGATATTCGCGAAAGAAGGAGGTAGGGGTCACCTGTTTTCAGAGGTAAAATTAGTGAGAAAATGGCCACCAAAGATCAGTCCGTGGCAACTGAAAATTTATATTTTTGTGCCTTTAATCAACGCTTTTCAGAAAAATCCACACAGAAATGAGTTCTGTAATGGGCATGAAAGGTGCTGAGTCAAAAAACAAAAATTTGATTAAAATTAACAAACCTGCTGAAAAATGCAAGTTTCTTCACTTTGATTATTTTGACGAGAGCCTGATTCCACCCCGCTGCCTCACATATTATGTTTTTGTGGAAAATAGCGAGTCTTGAAGGAAAGTTATTGTGTTTACATTTCAATACTGTCTTGAATGACAATTATTGTGTGGAAATCTTGACAGAGTCTAAGACACTTTGATTGTCTTAGACAGGTGCACGTCTTAGACAGTCTCATTATAATTTATTTTTTTATAACGCATGGGGGAGGGGGGGGTGGTTAAGAAGTGTTTGTTTGTACAGGTGATTATCTTGGACAGGTGGTCGTTAAAGCAGGCTGGATTGTGTGTTCTGAAGGACAAAACTTAAGTCACGTTGTCGCATTGGGTTCACACACATCCTGCCTTTTGTTGAGAGCGGAAAGAGACCCGGGATGTGCAGACCACTTGAATCGGACAGATCCAGTATTTGTGTGAGTAGAACAGAATATTGACGATTTCTTGTTCTGATTTTTTACAGCATCGTTTTCATGTTATTACACCCCCATTGACAAAACTTTCAAACCGGTTACTGTGTTGAAGGGGGTAGTTGATTCGCTTTCGCACGCAAAAGACCCGAGTTTGATTTCTGAGTGGGTCTTTCTGCTTGAATGTTTGTATTTGTGTGTCTTTGTCTTTGTTGGGGGGAGGGGG